TTAAAAAAAAAAATTACTGGAGCTTGGATGGGATGTGTTGCCACACTCACTCGCCTGACCTTGCACCATCAGACTTCCACTTGTTTCACTCTCTTCAAAACTCCGTGCATGGCATAATGTTCAATTCAGATGAGGCTATAACTCAGTACCTTGTTCAGTTTTTCGCAAATAAAGACAGGTCCTTCTATGAACAAGGAATTATGAAGTTCACTGAAAGATGGCAAAAAGTTATCAAACAAGACGGGCACTATATCATTAATTGATCTTTGTTCTTTATATAAATAAATGACCTTTGAAAAACATAGACAAAAATACGTCATGACTTTTCCGACAACCCAATATATTTTGCAACAGCCAGACAGTAATGATGGTCTTTGAAAAAAGGTTTGTAGAGCTTAAATGAGATGAATTAAAGCAGGCACCCAAATGAACGATTTCAGTAAAGCAAGCAGTGAGCCAGATCTCCACATGCGATGCAGAACAATTCTGCCACACCGCTAAGTGTGCAGTGTAGAAATATGGAGTATGGTCACAGTTGTAGTTTTTAAAGCCTCTCGTAAAACCCATCAATGTGTGAAAAGATATGGAAGGTACTGGGGATAGCTCTGAGGTGGAGTGGCAGGCAGAGGCTCACGTGGTCACTCATGCCAGGACGCCACGGGCTCCTGGGAGTTTTGTCACCTCTGCCAGGCCACCACCCCCTGCCAGGCCCTAGGGATAATCTTTCACGCCATTGCCACCAGCTGCTCCTCATGACACTTCTGGTGGAGACAAGAGCATGAGCACTGCCTGCGCCCTTCCTGCCACCTGAGCTGCCCAGGCTGGCTAGTAACTGGCTCACCCTGTGGCTCTGGCCATTCTTGATGTACTCCACGCCCACTGCGCGGGTGCCTTCAAACAGCACTCTGCTCACGAATGCCCGGGCTTCGGCTCTGAGGTTGGAGCGGTTCAGTGCTGGGTGCAGGTATGCGCAGGCCGCGCTCCAGCGCTTGCCTGTGGGACAGAGCAAGGAGATCAGGCGCAACCCCTGCCCTTTTCCCCGGCACCTGCACAAGATGGAGAAAGGGCACCTGTGCTTCCCCTGACGGAGCAAGCTCTGCCTTCAAAGGAAGGCTGAGACCAACAGACCCTCCCAAGTGAAAGCCACATCTGCCTGGGGTCTCCTCCATGTTCTGTGCCTTAGTTCCCCATCTGTAAGTCTCTAGAGCCTTTGAGCTGTTTGGCCAGAGAACTGATTCTCCATTGTGCACACCCACAGTCAGAGGCCCAGAGAATGCCCAAGCTGTCATCATCATCAAGTCATTTCTCATTGGCTGGGATTTGTATTCTATAGCTCGTAGGGGGCGCAATAGGTCACATCCCCTCCACCTCCTACCGGCCTCACTTTGTCCAACCGCTTACTGACCATGATGGGAGCAGGAGGGATGGGGCTGTGACAGAGAGTAGATTTTTTTTTCTTAAAGGAAGAATCAGGGGTACGCGGGCTGGGGGCCTTACGCTACCTTCATGGATAGTCATGTCCATCCAGCCGAAGCCTTCTTGCTGGTAGCCGTTCATGTCCTCGGTGAGGGGATAGCCGGCCTGCTGTGCTGCCTCCAGGAATGCCCGGTGCAGCGGGTGGTTGGTCTTGCCCCGCGACACGTGCAGCGGGCCTTCGCCGCCTCGGTACCTGCTGGCGCCCAGCTCATGGTGCTGCGCCTTGCGGAAGTAGGGCAGGCAGTGCGCGTAGTCCCAACCCGTCGCGCCTTCTCGGTGCCAGCGGTTGTAGTCCTCAGCATGCCCGCGGATGTAGACCATGGCATTGAGGGACGAGGAGCCTCCCCACACCCGGCCGCGCGGCCAGTACAGCACGCGGCCGTCCAGGCCCGTCTGCGGCTCCGTGTGGTAGTACCAGTTGTACCTGTTGTCACACAGGTTGGCTACGAGGGCCGCGGGCATGTGGATCTTCCACGAGAGCCGCTTGCTCCCTGCACGCATGTCCTTAGGCCCAGCCTCCAGCAGCAGCACACGTTTATCAGTGTCCTCCGTGAGCCGTCCGGCCAGCACACAGCCCGCGGAGCCTGCACCCACCACCACGTGAGTGTATTCGTCCCCACTTGTGGAGGCTGCCCTGGCCAGAGCACGGATGCCGGGCGGCCACTCCTGCCCCAGCACTCCCCATGGTCTCACGTGCCCTCGACGCCAGCCTCGCAGGATGCACCACATACTTCCAGCCCAAGTCTTCTCACATTCACGGAGAGGATACGTGATGATTTACTTCTAAAACATGAAAAGAGGACTTAAAATTTTAAACTCTGCATGCAGAATGATCTCGAAGCTGGGGCAGCCAGCTGGTAAACACAGGTCCCCTGCAGGCTCACCAAGCAGTCGGCCTAGGGCTGTGTGGGGCAGGCCTGGCTGGCATGTACCTGCTCTGGGGACCTAAGAGGAGGGAGCAGAGGTCCAAGCAGTTATGATAATACTGCAAGATCTGTGTTAGGACTGACAAACAGGGCTGGGGGCACAGGAGAGAGGCCCCACCCCAAACTTGAGGACTCCCCAGAAAGGCTTCTCTGGGACATCTGTGCACGAAGCTGGAAGTTGGGCAGGAGTCTATCTGCTGGACATCAGGGAGGTAAGGGCTTTCCAGGCTTGCACTCAGTCCTCATCCATTCAAGACAGTAGCTAAGCCCATACTACATGCCGGCACAGTTTCATCCCTAGCAATACACAGAGAACAAGACATCTGCCCTCAAAACTGATGGTGTGGGGCCAGGGAGACAGACAAGACTTAAATAACTGATGGAAGGTCAGGGTGAGAGGCTGGGGACTGCAAAGCTCAAAGCTTTTCACCTGAAGTTCATGGTGTGCACCAGAGGGCTTTTCAGCAGGGTATGGGGTCAGAGGTACAGTCTTCAAAGATCACTCTACAGAAGACTGAAGTTTTACCAAAGAAATGCCAGTAGATTTTGAAGGTCCTTTCCCAACGATGTTCAAATCAATCCCAATGTGCTCAGTGCACAGAGGTGGAAAAGAATATCTCATCAAGACCTCTACTGAACAAGAACATCTGAGAAAGCCCCACCCATGAGGCTAAGGCACACAAGGCCTGCCCAAGACTGAGGCTGCAACAAGAAAACTGAGAAATGTCAAGAAAACCCTGATAAATCTCCCCGCCCCCTCCGTGAGCCTGCACCTAGTAACACCAGCAGCCTATACTGGAAGCAGGCTAAGAGGTAAGAGTACAGAGAGAGATTCCTAATCCCCACAACCCCCTAGACCCATTCATGCAGACACAAGAGAAGGAGGCAGCAGGGCCTCCTGAAAGCTATGTCTGAAGCAGGAACACTGATAAGATCCTTCTAGCACTCCAGGCCCCATACTAGCCCAAGATGACAGCAGCCCACTGCTCAACTCATCACTAGGTTGACTCAACACTCTACAGTAATGACCTGATAGAATAAAAGACATGCCCTTTTCCAGGCATAAATACCATCTACCTCAGTCTCTACTATGCTGTTACACACAAGGTCCAACATTCAATAAAATATTGAGACACAAAAAAGTAAAAAAAAGAAATGGCACATTATCAAGAGATAAAATAAAAATTGTCAACAGAACCAGACCAAAGAATGGCCCATCCAGATGTTAGAACTATCAAACAAAGACTTTAACCAAGTTAAACATTTTAAAAGATTTAGTTGAAAAGGTGGACTATATGTTGAACAGACAAGCTATTCCAGAAAAAAATTGAAAACTATTTTTAAAAAGGGACAAATAGAAATGCTAAAAAAAATTTAAGGTAAGTAATTTGAACACAGCAGAGAAAAGAATAAGTGAAACTGGAAATTAGGTAAATAGAAATTATGAAAATGGAAATATGAAGAGTGAAAGAGAAAGAGAACAGAACAACTGAGAGCTAGGAGATGATATCAGACTATCTAAAGTATTCATAACTGGAGTCCCAGAGGATGAGAACGGGAAAAAGGGATACGGGGAGAGAGGAGAAGCAGAGGGAGAAGGAGGACAGAGGAAAAGAAGGACAGAGAGAGAACGAGAGAGAAAAGATATTTGAAGAGATAATTGCTGAGACTTTTCCAAAATTAATGCAAGATAAAACATCACAGATTCAAGAAGCTCAGAGCATCCCAAGCAAGAGTAATACAAAAACCAAAACCAATAAAACATCTAGGTACATTATATTCAAATTGCTTAACTCCCATGAGAAAATCGAGGCAGCCAGCTAAAAAAAGAAACATGTATAGAGGAATAAATATAAGAGTGACAGCAAATTTCTCATCAGAAAACATGCAGTCCCAAAGATAATGGAGTGACAACTTTCAAGTACTGAAAGGGGAATAAAACAAAAAACAATAAACTTAGAACTCAATAAACTGTACTCAAATATGAAGGGGAAATACATCTTCAGAGAAACAAAATCTGAGAATTTATTGCCAATGGATCTGCACTGCAAGACACGTTAAAAGAAGTTCTTCCGGCAAAAGCTGTATATTATCAGATGGAAATATCAGTCTATACAAAGAAATGAAGAACTTGGAAATGGTAAAAATTGTGGCTTTATTAGTTTCTTATGGCTGCTGTCACAAAATACCATAAACTTGGTGGCTTAAAACAACATAAATGTATCCTCTTACAGTTCTACAGACCAGAAATCTGAAATCAGTTTCACAGGGCTAAAGTCAAGGTGTTGGCAAGGCTGGTTCCTCCTAGAAACTACCTAGAGGAGAATCCATCTCCTTGTCTTTTGTAGATTCTGGGGGCCATCTGCATTACTTGGCTAGTAACCCTTTCCTTATATCACTCCAACTTCTTGCTTGCTCCTATCATAACGTCTGCTTCTGTAGTATCTCCCTCTTATCAGGACACTGATTCCATTGGGACCACATGGATAACCCAGGCTAATCTCTCCATCTCGATTCCTCATCTGATCTGCAAAGTCTCTTTTGCCATACAAGGTAACATATTCACAGAATCTAGGGTTAGGACCTGGATATCGTGGGGTGGGGGCATTGGTCATCCTACCATATGATACATGTTTGGGTAAATATGATACATTTCCCTCTTATTTTTAATCGCTTTAGAATATAATTGACTGTCTAAAGCGAAAGTAGTGAAATAGGGTTCATAATATATGTAGTATCAAAATGTGCATAAAAACAATAGCACAAAGGATTGGGAGGGGGAGAAATAGAAGTATGCTTTTTATAAGGGTTTTATTCCATACATTAAGTGGTATAATATTATTTGAATGTATGTTGTGATAAGTTAAAGATTTTTATTGTGAACCCTAGCACAACCACTAAAAATTTTAAATAAAACAAAGAAAGGTAGCTAATAAGTCAACAGTGGAGAAAAATAAAATAATAAAAAGAGGTAGAAGAATTAAAAGGAAATAAAATTAAAAGGGGCAAATAACAACATGGCAAATTTAAATTCAACCATATCAATAACTGCATTAAATGTAAATAGTCTAAATACTCCAATTAAAATGCAGAGATTGTCAGATGGGATAAAAAAGCCAGACTCACATAGGTAATAAATAAGAAAATGGAAAAAAGATGCATCACATAAGCACTAACAAATAAGAGAATGACAATATTAACTCTAGACTTCAGTACAAAAAAATATTACCAAGGTTTAGAAGAAGACATTTCAAAATGATAAAGGGGTCAATTTATCATAAGATAAAACTCCAAATGTGCGTGTGCCTAATAGAGCTTCAAAATCATGAAGCAAAAATCAGAACTAAAAGGAGAAATGAATATATACATAATTACACTTGGAAACTTCAACACTCTCAATCATAGATAAAACATCTAGACAAAAAATCAGTAAGTATATAGAAGACTTGGACAAATTATGAACTAAATTGACCTAACGCTTATTATTGAACACCAGAACAACAGCAGAATACATCGTCTTTGCAAATGCACATAGACTTTATCCTGGGCTGTAATAAAAATCTCAACAAATTTAAAATACAATCATAATTTAAATTTTTTTCACAAAGAAAACTCTAGACTTCATTGGTAAAATCTAACAATTCTATGGAAAACAGAGGAATAGAGAACACTCCTAAACTCATTTTATAAACCCAGCATTATCCTATTACCCAAATCAGACAAAGATATTGCAAGAAAACTATAGACTTATACCCATCATAAACAAAGATGCAAAAATCTTTAACAAGGGCCAGCTGAGTGGCGCGTTGGTTAAGAGCTGGCTTGGGATGCCAGCTCTGAGTAGCAGGGTTCTGGTTTGGATCCCACAAGGGGGCCAGTGACACTGCCCTCCACAGCTAAGATGCTGAACAACAGCTCGACCTGGAGCTGGGCGGCCATGAGTCGCCAGCGATGGCGTAGGCTGCAGCCCCTGCTGCAGTGGGCTGCCATAAGCTACCGTGTGTGGCCGGTAGCCAGCGTGAGCGGCTGGCAGCCAGTGTGAGCTGCGAAGAGCCGCCATGAGAGGCCGTCCAGAGGCCGGTGACCGATCTGCCTCAGCCGGGAAGAGCGCAATGATGATGCCAACTTGGGCCAGTGAAGCAACGTCCTCCACAACTAGACTGAAGAACAAAAGGACAGCAACTTGTCTGTTCCCCTTTCCCAATTCCCCAATGCTGTTCCCTTTCCCCAATTCCCCAATAAAATCTTTTAAAAAAAAATGTTTAACAAAATTTTAACATCTCAAATCCAGCAACATAACAAAAAGCATACATCATAGCCAACTAGAGTTTATCCCAGGAATGCAAGTTTGGTTCAACATTTGAAAATCAGTCAGTGTATTTCATCATATTAACAAACCAAAAAAGAAAAACATATGATCATCTTAATGCAGAAATCATTTGGCAATATTCAAAATCCATAAAATCTCTGTGTACTTAAGGAATGGAAGAAAACTTCCTGATAAGGTCACCTATGAAATACCTACAACTAACTTTGTACTAAAAAGTTAGTACAACTTTTTTGGTGAAAGAGTGAAAGTTTTCTCCCTGAGATCAAGAACAAGACAAGGATGTTCACTCTCACCACTTTTATTTAGCATTGTATGAAGGTTCTAACCAAGGATTTAAGGTTAATTAATTAGTTTTTAAAAAGTAAAAGGCATACAGATTGGAGGGAAAGAACTATAAATATCATTATTTGCAGACAACACGATCATCTACATAGAAATTCCCAAGGAATTTACAAAAAACCCTACTGGAATTAATAAGTGAATTTAGCAAGGCCATAGGCTACAAGTTAAACACAAAATTCAATTTT